AGGACGGCGACGCCAACTATTTGCTACTTCGAAAACGACACGTGGGTTCAATATCTTTTTGTTGTCCTTGTTGTAGTTGTGGTTGTCTTCACATTACAAACCGTTCTGTTCTCTCTGCCCAGTACCTTCTTCAGTCCGCACTAGTCTCACACTTGACGGATTTCGAAAAAAAATGGAACCAAAGCGGAAGAGAGCAGATGGAAATGCGGATGCATTTTGACCGAACTGTTTAAGGCACGTAACGCCTCTTGCAGCCAAACCATAAGTGGTTTCCGTGACCACAACCAAACTCTGAGTGATTTCCGCTTATGACCTAAAAAACTAGCCTAAAAATGAGCTCCTCGACCGATCAGATGAAATGGTTTATGCTGAGACTTTGAATAACGATATATGACCAAGAGAGCCATAGAGCATCCGAGACAGCGAGTGGTAGTTCCATGTGACGGGATTTCAGCTTAGACTACGCTGGAGTTCAAAATGAGCTACTCGACCGATCAGATCAAAAGGTTCGTAGGTGCTTTCCCTGACCATCACCCAACTACACACGATTTCCGCCTACGACCACCGAGGAGGTTTGTGCGTGAGACTTTTGACTAACACCGTGTCCATGACAGCCATCCACTTGACAGCTTGTGAGAGCCACCTACTAGACAGCTTGCGACAGTTGCGTAAGTCGGGCATTTTAAGGCGGGTGATAGTCTCATTTTCGATTTTTTGTTTTTCGATTTTCCACGTCACGCAGCGGGGACAAGTCGCACCAGGAGGAGCAGGAGCAGGACACCGCCTAGGAAAGCGGCTCGAAGCAAGCAGCTGGCAAGCGCAAACGTTCTAAAAGCAAGGACCCGATGTGAGCACACTATATTGTTTCCATTTAAGTCACTGCGCGGATTTGTCCCGTTGTCCAGTTCTCACAATAAAACGCGTTCACTCATGAGTTGCAAGCTCGGGTGACACAGAGAACCCCGTTGGTACACGTCGCAGCGGTTTTCCAGGTTGGGGTGATCAACTTGTTAGCGGGTACAGACAGGACTAAACACGGCATGAAAATATCCACCTCAGACAGTTGAAACCTTATCACGAACAAAGCAGCAGGCCCCATGTAAGCTGGAACATCGCATCTACGGGGTATGTGAACTAGGAAAATTGTGTCCGGGCTATCCCTCGTCTCCTCGATAACTCGGCCCCATTCCAAGACTGTTCACCGTTCGAGGCGCCATTGAAAAATGTGTGTCACTGGCCTCCTCCACGTTTTCGCCTCCTCGGCCGATTAGCGCTGTTCCAAGATGAGTTGGGCCGATCATTGCCCTTCTCGACCGATTAGCGCATTGTCACAACAGCAGTGTTCGGGTTGTCGTCCGCCCCCCTCTCGATCGATCAGGGCCAACGCCCCAACCTTAGATCTTCAACGTAGACAAAGCAATTTGTTGGCACTCCATCAGATCTCCGTCAGATCCTATTCCATCTGGTCCCATGCCACAAACAGCGCTCCCTCCAGCAGCGGGGCCAGCCGCCCAGACCAGGCAATCGCAGGAAAATCCAAGAATTAGAGGGGCGACAAAGACCCAAAGTGACTCCATTTATGTATTTCCACCAAGTCTCGCGGAGTTGTCTCATTGTCCAGGTCTCCAGTTCGTGGCTCATGAGTTGCAAGCGTGCGTGACGCAGAGGCCGTTATTGGTACATGCCACAGCGGCCCTTTTCCTCGGAGACATGAAAGCTGGTCGCCAACAAATGAGCAGGCCTAAGTGTGTCTCCACACTTGTAAGGGGTATGTGTTGCAGGAAAATTGCGTCCGGGCTATCGCTCGTCTCCTCGGTAACTCGGCCCCATTCCAAAACTGCTGCCCTTTCGGGGCGCCATTGAAAAACGTGTGTCACTGGCCTCCTCCACCTTTCGCCTCCTCGATCGATCAGCTCTGTTCCAAGATGAGTTGGTCCCATTCTTGACCTTCTGGACCGATCAGCGCATTTCAAGTATAGTTTTCGGGTTGAGGTTAATCTCCTCGACCGTTCAGCGCCATGGCCGCAATCGTAGATCTCCAACCTTCAGACCACCGCACTGTATCGGCACTCCAAGAGATCCTGTTCCCGTGCCAAAATCCATTTCTCTCTAGCAGCGGTGCCAGGGACAATTACCAGGCGCCTGCAATGAAATCCAAGAACAAGAAAACGGTCGAAAACGACCGGAGCAAAACGACCACCAAGGAATGGGGCGCAGAGGGGAACACCGCCACAGGTGCGGATACACCTTCCTCTCCCCAGTCCCCCGCTGACGCTAAGTCCGTGGAAGACGACCGGCCCACGAAAAGTGGCCTCCTAGAGGACAACTCGTCGTCGTCGAGCGACGATGGCTACGAGGAACACGAGAACTACCAGAAGGGAAACCCTCGCCGGGATGATCGTTCCACACACACCCCTTCTCCTGAGGCGCCAAGATTAGCAACCAGGTGCGCATACGCCGTACTTTGGTATGTTGCTGTTGCTGTTGTCTTCACCATCAAACCGTTCCGATCTCTCTCTACCCAGTACATTCACATGTCCGTACTGATCAAACACTTGACGCGGTCGTAGCCCATGTAAAATATGTCCCGTCGGCTCCCTCGCTCCCAAGCAGGTTTTACTTGTGTGCTCAACGTCTGGCCCTGCCCCTCGGGTGCTAGTTGTAGCTATCTACATGAATGTACACCAAGAACGGTAGCCGCTCCTCGGTCGACCAGCTACACGGCAGGTATTTCGGCAAACCGTGTGCTTATGTTGGTTCCGTTTGTTCGAAGATACCCGATGTGAACCACCGTGCCCTGTACGTACTCCTCGTACTGCCAACTTAAACGCGACTAGCGGGGCAGACGAAGGCCACCATCAATCGGAACCCGAGGGCCTCAAGAACAGTGAGGGCCCACTTTCCGGTTCCACGGCAGCTCCGAACGAAGAGTAAGAAGTGAGATATAACAGGGTTTTCGCACCATTGAGAGCGAAGTTTCCGATTGAGAGCGAGAACCAAAAAATATCGAAATTCGGGTCCAGACGCCTCCCGTCATTTCTTGGGAAGCAGGGGACGGGATCTTCCAAAAAGCGGCGCAAATTGAAGCTCTCTTCAGCAGCTTCGCGTGCATTTGCGTTTCACTGCGATCGGCTGCAGCAGCGAGGAGCTACGCACGTTGCTAGATTTCCCCAGATTGGCTATTCCTGCCCGAAACTGTTTCAGGGCGCCGTCGCCTGGCGCGGTAGGCCCTCCCGTAGCTTCTGCTCCGCGGTGTAGCTCCACAACGCGAGACACCCGCAGGATTACCCGGGTATCGGCTTGTAGCTATGGGCAAGCCCTTCAATTCAAGCCGCACAGCAAGCTCTACCTCTCAGCAGTAGACAAGCTAGATCGTATCCCACGATCTCGCTCTCAATCAGATACTTCGCTCTCAATCGTGCGAATATGCTGTTATATTTGTGTTTCACTCTGAATGCCCGTGTGTCTCATTCTGAATGCCTTCGGCACACCAGAGTCACGTTTCAATGCCAATGAATTACGGGCACGCGAGAGAGGGGAATAAAGCATGTCGGCTGTACGGTCGGAATATTTGGGGTCTCTTGGTCCTGTATGCACACTCGGGGTTCTTTGTCCTGATATCACAAATTTTGCTGTACCCCACGTGTCGCATCCTCTTGATACAGGGAAAAAATGAGGCTCATTTGCCAGGCAGCAAGACGAGAGGGCATCACAACAGCAGGGGGAGTGCCCAGATATTTCCAGTCGAACTCCCCAAGCCAATTCAAGAGCTTGAACGTCACGCAGGATGTCCAGGATACGACCGGTCGCACTACCCTCAACGTCATGATGGCCGACCGTCTACAACCACCATCTTCAATTAACGCGAAGTGGCTCGAGGATCCCGACAATGCAAAGTACACCTTTAGCGATGGCGATGCTTGTGGTTCCCTCGTAGATCTCGTGAACGGGGTACATGGAACCACATTTCCTCGTGACGGCACAGAACTATGGAGACCGGTTGTACTAGAGCGCACGCGGGGTCGATCATCAACGAAATAGCCTTGAACGCATCAACGAGAGACGTTTCAACGTGGGCGTGTAAGAACAAGGTTTTCGTGTGATTGAGAGCGAAGTTTCTGATTGAGAGCGAGATTGCGCGATGCGCTGTAGCTGGACTACCGCTGAGAGGTGGAGCTTGCTGCGTGACTTGAATTGAAGGCCTAGCCCGTAGCTACAAGCCGATACCCTGGTCATCCTGTGGGCGTCTCTCGTTGTGGAGCTACAGCGGGGAGCAGAATCTACAGCAGAGCTCACCGCCCGCGATCAAATCGCCCTGAAACAGTTTGAGGCAGGAATAGCCAATCTGGGGAAATCTAGCAACTTGTCTAGCTCCTAGCTGCAGCATCCGATCGCGATGACACGCATATGCTCGTGACGCTGCTGATGAGACCTTCAATTTGCGCCGCTTCTTGGAAGAGCCCGCCCCCTACTTCCCAAGAAATGGCAAGAGGCGTCTGGACCCGAAATTTCAATTTTTTTGGCTCCCGCTCTCAATCGTATACTCCGCTCTCAATCAGGCGAAAACCCTGTTTAAGGCGTGTATGGATTCCGACCCCAAATTCGATGGTCTACGGCAGGAGTGATCCTAGCCCTTCGTTTTGTTGCTCAGGTAATTTTTTGTTGTATGAGGCCGAGGGTGGAATTATTTTCTGAACGGCTGCTATGAGCTCGAAGAAGAGCGGTTCATAATTGGATTGGAAGTTGAGCCTACAGTAGTCAAGAGTATTTTTATGCACGACGGCGCATACTGTTGTATGGATAGGAGTCGGTTTTTTTGGTACTTGTGCTGTTGCTTCTCTAGAGCATACTGTTGAACTCAAGTTTTGCGAAAGATGAAACAGAAGGGTTGGGTCGTATCAGGGAACGTTCGGGACGTTTGGGAGAACTTCTTTTTTCGTTTACAATGACAATCAATGTGCGTCCTGTCGTGAGGTTCCTCGGCCGATCAAGTGGTGTGCAGCGACGTTTTGCCGCTTTGGGGGGACTTGTGCGTGACCAATGAACGCTTCAGGGCAGAGCAGCATATACGTAAACATAACAGGGTTATGTGTAGATGAGGATTTCATGTACATCTGGGAATGAATATAGTCTCGAATACGATGTGGCACGTGCCGGAAGGATGTATGGATAAAAGAGATATCGAGAAGGTACACTACGGCGGTAAGAATTCGACAGTTGGTTTCCCAAACTTGCCTTAGCGTTAGAGACCTTTCTCGGATACTTGATGAGTACCTTGGTGCGCTGAAATGTTATGTTTGCATCAAGGGCAACGCGTGTACTTGTACATTAGCTTCACTTGAATCACACGCTTATGGACCCCGTCTATGGACCCAGGCGGTTTGTAGGAATTGAGACAAGCATGCAAGTGTTTCACATATGTATCTGCAAACCAAGGACGGTGGCTTGGAAACAACGAAGCTCTTCGAGACGCCCTTTGTAGTACTCCGAAGGAGCTCACGTACCAGAATGCCCCGATTGATGTTCTTCCAGCGTATTGGCAGAGGTGCGCGGTGCATTTATCAGTTGATGTTGAGGAAGTTTTCCATAAAACGACATTTTGCAGCCATTGACCTGACCATCCACGGGCCGGTCAATGGCAATCTCCACACGGCGGTCTGCGAATACCATATTTGCCCACTATATTAACTTAGTTTTACTGTGATGTAATCCGGGGTGCTCCCCCTACCGTAGCATGACTCATGAGCGGATGAGAATTTCCAACGGGACTATAGGAAGTGGCTACGCAGATAGGAGTTGATAGTCCCCTGGGTTGGTTTCATGTCTGGTCCACGGGGCTCGGACCTGCTGGAGTGTTTGCTGTATCGCGGCACTCTCCCTCTCCCGCCGCGTCCTGATCGTGTCTGCTGTCCTAAATACAAGTGATACCATCATCTTTAACACACATAGAAGGGTAATCTAACACCTACGACTTCCGAACCGCTTCCGAACGGCATACGAATGGCTTCCATACCGCTTCCATGGAAGTTGTTAACGAGAACTTCAGGCCTTGATGGAAGTTGTCCAAGCTTCCATGGAGGCATCACAGTGGGATTTTGACAGATACCCGGCTACTTTCAGTTTCATACATTCTTCAAGAAGGTCCTCCACGGTTGATTCGCTTCGTCAATATCGAGGATAATGACCCCTCTCCAGGGGGCACCCCGGGGGGATTGTTCGCCCGGGTATGTTTACCTCTTAGTCTAGGTTCCCTTTGCGCGGGTGTTGCTCCGTGCGACTTTGAGATGAAGGAATTGGTCGTACTCCGCCCACCATGCACCGGCAACCGATCTCATCACGGTTGGTCAGTGTTGCGGCGGCACCTTCGGACTTCCACGACACCTGATTCGGTCTTTGATTGAGACACAGGCGCCTGTTTCATGCACCAATCGGGACACAGGTCACCAGGCCACGCCTCGCCCGTCTTTGCATGTCCAGGCAGGGACTCGACGATCTCGCAGACGGATTCAGGGATCGCTTTGACGTGGAAAGGCAGAAGCGAGCTAGGGCAATCCGAGCACACCTGACGCATTATCAATTTCGGATGGTAACAATGGAGGACAGAGATTAGGACTAACTTACTGTAACGAACTCACGCTGAAACTGGCCGTTGCGGCGCGTTCCAGCCTTCGCCTGCTTCGGAAGTCTTCATGTTGCAATGTCTGTTTGGTGTAGAGCACTACCTTCAAATATTGTTTGCCGCCCCGTCTAGTTCGGGAGCCAGTCTACACCTTCCAGCGTATGTTTCACGCGCCAGCTAAGTCACATCTGTCGAGCATCAACCAGGAGCCGAACAATACATGTTGTTTTGGCTGTACCTATTCTATAGCCTGCATACCCACCTGGAACGACTTCCCGACCTCGGCGTTCATTTTTCGAATTTCGTCGGTTGATGCGGCGGCCTTTGCATAGAGTTTCGCCTTTGTTTCCACGGCCCGGCCGATCATGACCTACCAATTGCATTTCACACGCAGGTAGGCCGGTAAGACGAAAGGAGAACCCTTGGCTTTGGCTCGACCTTGAAGGGGGATGTGTAGACCGGCTCAACGTCGTTAGACAAATGTCTTTCATCCTTCGCTCTACATACAGCCATCCGTTGGTTTCATTACAAACACCACCAAAGTGATGGGAACAAACGTTTCGGCCCGGGCATGCATTTGCCTTCGACTTACATTAGCCAGCATCTCTGTTATCGTGGAGTGCACCATGATTGTCCCGTTGCGCGTTTCCGGGCCGGACGCGTCTGAAGAGACGTAGTGAAAGTGTTGGCTGACTGCGAAACGCCGAATTCCGTTCTTCGATTGTTCGTTTTCGAAGAGTTTCGCCTGGTACATCTGATAATAGGAAAAGCAGTAGTGCAGGTCAGCATGGGAGGAGTCATACAAGAGCAGCAAAGGCATATAATGCCGAACGTTGTACTTTGTGACGCCCGGGCAGTCCACGATATCTACAGCAGAATGCCATGTCTGTATTCAGGGATACGGCGTTGACAAGAGCACCCCACCGTGACGAGGAAAAAGAGCTCGGCCCGCATGACGATATGCAACGCACACATATATATGGCTCTACATTGCTCGAGCCCACGAACTACAGCAAGGCGGCTTCAAGAAATGACTGATCATCTAAACAGTGATGTGGACACAACAAGGACCCGCGTGTAAACCAACAAGGCCAGCGCTTCCTGCACAAGTGACTCAGGAAAGTGAGCATGTAGGCGAAGCTCGTTCCCACAAGCTTGAATAAATCCACGTACGAGAAGTTCAGGCAGATTACGGTACGTAATAACCCTAGCCGCCTTCCAGGGGGGAACCGATATAATCACACGTGTTTGTCTTACTTTTGCTGGGACTCGTGCGTGTCGAACGGGAGCGCTATTAGATCCATGCTAAGTCTGGTTTGCCCCAACATCTTGCCTGTTACGTCTGAATGTCCGGGGGCTCTTTGGTCCACACTATTGTCACTGCTTTTGTGAACAATCTTGGTCATGATTTGCTGTCACCTTTGACACTCAATGCATGGGTATTAGACTATGCCTGGGAGGGCGTTAGTGCCTTCATGATCAGTGCGGACGTTACAAGGTGCTGAGCAGAGATCGGAACGGACAATGATGTGAACGGCAGTCCATCTACACAATGAAGACGACCCCACACCAACCAAACTCACAGGAAATACGCTCATGAAGGATACGCGAGGGTCTCGGGTTTCGTAACCGTCCATTTTGCCGAGTCCGTTGTCGTCGTCTGGCGATCTGCTCAAGTACGACATCCTGACGTCTTCCAGAGCGGTCATGGTTGGGTTCTCTTCCTTCCATAAAACCTCCTGAATGTTGGTGTGCACCGTGCCAAGGAAGGAGGAAGGTCAGAATGTGATCACGAGAACGAATCGCATATCTCGAAATTAAGTTTCCGTTCACGGGCGCGAGAGATGGTGCTTTGTCAATCTCCTTGCATGACTTTGCAGCACCCATCGTAATGCCCCCGTCCGACCTTCCAAAAGATTGTAATGGTTCAGAGGGGTCCGCGCAAGAACAAATTACGGCCGACATGCTACTTCCGCGAGCCAATCGTCGCGTTCCTCGATGACCTCGGATGGGAGATTGCTCAACCGCCTGTCTAAGGGCTATTATTAAGCTTCCGGCACACCCTACAAGGGAACCCCATGGCACTCACAAATCCAGCCATGTGATCCACGAACAAGAGCATTCCTTCCCAGCTAGGCGGCAGGGCGTCCATGAGTACCTGCGGATGCGAGCATGTGTATGATGCACGAGTTGAGTGTGCATATCTTCAGCGCGATCAGAGAACGCGAGTGGTGGGGAACCCAGCTGCTACACAAGAAAGAACAAGCAGAACTCTTCAAGGCCAGGCGCAACAAGACCTGGTTGGCGCCCATACGTTCTCTTGGATTTGATTTCCCGAGCCTCCTGTGCCTAGTCCCCTGTCACGATGCCAGCCTGTTTTCCTGTTGCACATCGACTGCTGTAATGCATTCCACATCATGCATAGACTATGTTTGAGAAATCCAAAAAGATCCGCCCACACCGCATGCCCTCGATGCTCGTACGCCTCGCGTGAAGGCCAAGCACAACGACAATTGTCAGACAGATGCTGCTACTAATCGTGGTGAGGCAACCTACAGGTCTACACTCTCTGATGGTCAAGAGTATATTCATGCGGTAAATCGGCTGTTGTCCATCTTCGTTGCGTGTCACCTCGACCGAGAATTGGGTGCCTTCGTTGTTGGACGGGATTAAGTTGGACGGAGCCATAACAACTGTAGGCCACGGGCCACCTTCTCGAAAAATAGTCGACGCCAGGAACTGCTCGGCGGAGTGAATGAAGGCTGCTGTGCTCCCGCTCATGAGTTTTTCGTTGTTGCAGACCAGCGAATCTACCGAGTTGGAGAGGCCAGCGTTGGTGAAAAACAGCAGCATGATATTCGTCTCGGCTTCATTGTGGAACAGCAATTGCCGCAACCAGCACAATTCCCGATGGAACTGGCGCCATTCCAAAGCCGATATTGCAAGCTCTCTGCACGGTGAACACAACAACAAATTTATTCTCCCGCTCCACATGAGCAACGTTGGCAACGTGAATTGTGCTTGGCGTCATTAGACCAATAATCTTGTACTAATGGCTCTTGAGGGTTGATTCGCAAGGCAGAGGTCTCGGGTACCGTTGCCGGAACAGGTCAACCAATGAATAGTCGCCACACCTACAGCATGAGTACAACGACGTAAAACACGGGAATAGCGAATATAATGCATATTGAAGAAGGGACATCACCAATGTAAGTCCAATTTGTGTTTCAGTCTGAACGAACATAGGCGAACAAGAATAGCGCATTCATGGTCCGACGTGCTTCTTCATGCAAACCGCTCCTGTCAACTCACAGCTGCGGGAGCTGAGCATTCACACGAAGTAGCTCGAGGGTCGACCGACAAATATGGACACTCAAGACACGAGACCATCCTGACAGCAATGCACCTGCCCAAACCATCCGTTACAGCTTCCTGCAAATGGGGCTCCGCTTACCGGAACAGCTGGTGATTCTAAACAGCCGCATATCCTGGATAGAGGGAGTGTAGGCAAAAACGTTACGAATGCGTGCGGTGATAGAAGGTTGCATGTCAGTGTGGCGAAAGTGGAACTGATCCCACTCCTTCATCTTCCTAGAGGGAAAGAAAACATTGATAGTGCTGAACGAAAGTACACGTGCCCTCACTTGCTGAGTGTGTGAAAGGAGCAGCGTTGCTACCCATGAATCTTCACATTGATAACGAAAGACTGTAAGCGTTGCATGTCGGTGTTCCACGGTCCCACCGTTTTGAAATCAACTTTTAGTCATTACTCGCGCCCATTTTGGGACCCGCGCGATGTGACTTTCACCCAGGGTAATTTAGTCAACCTGTCCCCGATGTTGACCTCAAAAGAGCAAACACTACTCCCCAAAAAGGAACCCTCCCGCATCACCATTACGGCAAACCGTAACGTACACTACGCCTCTCAACGGACATCATTCAATAAATCCTTACCTGGTACGTCAGGCGAAGGTTTCCGACCCGGACGTCGGCGTATCCCCAGCATTTCTGAACTACACTTGACTGGATGTCGTTCTTTTGCCCGGCCGCTAACACCATGTCTATCAGGGTCAGAAACACACCCCTTTGAACGGATCCTCCCAATACCAGAAGCCACGTCGGCTCGCCGTCGAGGCTGGCAAGGAGCATGAGATCCTCATATGAAAACGTGTCGAAAACACAAGATTTGGGCTGAAACACCCACCCGTTTCTCATAACTCCATGCGCCGCACTAGCGACGCTCGACGAAAGCCATGTCCCGGACCTCCAAAATGTATCCGCAATGTTTTTGTTGGCATCGTCGTGGGTGCTACACACTGGAAGGGAGTTGACGTCCAGCGTTGGAGCATCGCCTGCAATCGTGAGACTGAAAGGGCTACCCAAGATGGGAACACCCTCATCCTTTTTCGAAGACTCGACTTCATCGATATACACCAGGTAGTCCCCGGGGAAATCACTCTTGTACGTGGCGGTCAGAGTGCCGTTCTTGCTGCCGTCGTCTGCTACCTCCGCGATCAAGATCTGCGGCGTCGTGTATGGAATAATAGAGTTTGTACACATGCAGTGGGAGCTGTATTCAACACGGATAGTATCGTGGTCCGTTCACGAAGTTTTTTTTGTTCATCATTTCTGCCGGGTAGGAGCTCCACTCCGTTGCCACACAGAGGAGTTCCTGTCCCTGAGACCCCCTACCCACCCCGTCTGCGGTGCTTGCCTTCGACGTCCAATTGAGGATCGAATACAAACAACAATCGATACTGCAGTAAATAGTCAGTGTTGCAAATACGGGCGCACTCGACACATACTCCGCCGTCGGCTTTGTGAGTTTCACCAGCATGCAAAACGTTGTGAGTTACTCACAGTGAACTATGTATTGCATGGGACGAGGTCATTCTATCCTCCCGCGTATAATACGTACCGTCGTTCCCAGGATCGTAACAATACGTGTTATCGTACCGCGGTCGTTGTTTTTTTCTTTCCGCTATTTTACGTTTCACCCCAAAGCGATGCAATACCGCCGAACCCTGTGCGAGAATAGAAATACAACACAAATCGTTTGATGTTGACATTTTACGGGCATGCTTTTGCGAAAACTCTGGTACGTGAAGTCCTGTGTATAACCCTAAAGGCGACACCTAGACGCTTAACAATCACCCCTGTGCGATAACCCAAGTGTCATTGGAAATGTATGCTTCTGTTGTCCTTGATGCCTCCACGTGTGGTTTGCGACGATGCCATATACAACGGAGCTAACATGCCAGCACCAGCATGCTTGCGGGGGGAAAACGTGCCCCGGAACCGTTGGTACTGGCACTCAGCTACCAACAACATATTCGCCTGATTGAGAGCGTAGCATCTGATTGAGAGCGAGATTGCGCGATACGCTGTAGCCGGACTACCACTGAGAGGTGGAGCTTGCTGTGTAGCTTGAATTGAAGGGCTAGCCCGTAGCTTCAAGCCGCTACCCTGGTCATCCTGTGGGAGTCTCTCGTTGTGGAGCTACAGCGGGGAGCAGAAGCTACAGCAGAGCCCACCGCCCGACGCGATACCGCCCTGAAACAGTTTGAGCAGAAATAGCCAATCTGGGCAAATCTAGCAACTTGTCTAGCTCCTCGCTGCAGCATCCGATGACGATGACACGCATATGCTCGCGAAGCTGCTGATGAGACCTTCAATTTGCACCGCTTCTTGGAATAGCCCGTCCCCTACTTGCCAAGAAATGGCAAGAGGCGTCTGGACCCGAAATTTCAATTTTTTTGGCTCTCGCTCTCAATCAGATACTTCGCTCTCAATCAGGCGAAAATGTTGTTTACCCTGGGTTGCTAGTCATCGCACAGGAGTGCGATGACTCCGGACACTGTGCAGAAATCTAGTGTGTGTAACAAGGTGACCGGTATTCCTCTCTGACGCTACAAATGGCTTCGAACATATAGATTCCTCCACATACATGCGGTCCGGGCTCCGATGGGTTTCATGTCTCTTGATGACCAGGTGGCAGGTTCAAATGCCGATTTGCATTGCCAATACCTCGTCCTGTTGTGTCTATTCTTCAGCCGACTTCGCCATCCGGGGTGACAAGATTGGTGAATGGTTCTTTGGTCATACTGTACTGTACAACCGACCCTATGCGCCGGACGGGAAATCCACGTAGTAGGTACAGTAGTAACGACGCTCGACGTGTGGACTTGCCCCATGTTCGGATGGCCTTGTATGTGTGTGTTCAAGACGTTTGTTTCTGTCACTTGTATTAAGGACAGCAGGTGGGTTCAAAACTCTGAGACAAACAAGGCGGCGGGAGACAGAGGGCACACCGCCAGAAGGCACTAGGGGACTGCAGAGTATGTGCGAAGCCACCATAGTCTACATTGTATATCCATCCGCACACGAACGCCCCGACCAACCACCTCCCCAAACATCTCAACAAAGTCATCATTTCCTCCTGCACGATGGTGTAGCTCCTACCAAGCATTACGACTGTCCCACCTGATCCTTATTCGCGATCCACACGTAGATGAAACGTGTGCTGGTGTTTGGTTTCCATTCAGGCAGCGAGCCGAGTTGGTGCCCCACCAACTGAATTGTAAACGATGCCGGTCTTCCCACCGTCGCCTTGTGCAGTCCATCACCAGAGGCTGTGTGCGGGGCTCTTTCGAGGGATCTGTAGCTGTGAGCCTATATTCAACAAGCGGTCCGTCAAGCGGGAGCTTGTTTGGTAATTTCGATGTCCGATTTAATACCTACTGATTTTCTTGTACCAATTCATTGAGTGTCCCCTTTCGCTGTGTACGAGTAAGAATCCTTTACCTGAGCGCCAGGAGCGAGCGCTGAAAAATACGGCGAAAGAAAGGGCGATAGCGACGGGCCCTCGTCAAGCATCTTTCCAATGAATAAAATCTCCTGCCATTAACTCAGTCACACAACAGAAGTGGGTGAATGGTCCTGTTGGTAATCTGCTATCGTGGCGCTTTCTGGCTTTAGGCCGTGGGCGGGGTTGGGATCTCCTCGGAGTGCAAAAACAAGCAACATCGTGGCCCAGAATCGTGAGTTCCGGTAACAAAGGGAACAGATTGCTGGACACTTGTCGCGCAATCTTTGTCGACGTCGAAGACAACATACGCAGGAGACAAGGTGGACGAAAACACAACAACAGAAGCTCCTGTCGTCACGCTCCTTTAGCGTGAATCGGGCGGGTGCGTCGAACGTATCCGGAATACCGAAATGACAGGCGCCCTGAGAAGATGGGGCAGGAACACAGACCGAGTCTGAGGCCTGTTCATTGGGCAGTCGGAGAGCCCGGTCGAAACTACTGTATTATTGATGCCGCACACTACATGCGACCTGTTGCTGATGCTGTAACGAGGAACAAACAGTACAATGTGATGAAGGTCATATTCGCGTACATGCAGCACCGGGCCCTCTGTCGGGCGGCGGCCGGCGTAGGTCGGGCAAATCCGCTGTCAAGGAAGAGAGTGTGCAATCACGGTAGGTGTGTTTGCCACATTGAATGGCGTGTGGATGTCCGATACAGGGAGGGTGACAAGGAGAATCGGCCGGGTTAATACCCACCCAGTAGAGGAACCCCGCCCGTAGCTTTGCTCGTTCTGCAGCCTGCCCTTGCGGTTGAGTCCTAAAAGAACTTCCACCCATATCCGCCGATCTCCAATCTACAGTAGTATCAGGGCCGTTTGGAAGATGCCATACCTGCTCGTTGTCCGGTTTGCCCTGAAAGCCACCGTCGATCTCCACTCTAACGGCAGGGGGGGAAACTCCTTCGGCGGCCAACACGCATGCAGTCACGACCAGAAGTCGAACATTAAAGCGGGCCTTCGTTACCCACATTGTCGTCTTCGGGGCAACTCACAAGTACTTTCCGTTCCTAGCACGTCGCTGGCGCTGGAATATAGTGAATAAACGCATGAAGGAAACAGTGAAACACGTACGTGTCGATTGATGCGTTCGTGTGGACTGGAGATCGATTGACTTTGTATGGAATCAGACAGCCTAGTTTCAGAAGCGCAGAGAAAAGATTGAACCCAGGATCTTGAGAGAAGAGAGGAAAAGGAACAACGTGGAACCCTACCGGGGAGGCCGTCGCCCCACAGCATTTGCCATCGCACACCCGCCTAGCGCCCAGATTCCCCTGAGATTCGCATGGAGTGCCGGGCACCCCAAGCAGCGCCTGTACTCGGTGCTCGACACGAATTATATAGGAAACTCTCAAAATATTGACTTGCAACCCAACCCCATCAATTTTGCAGTAAATGTTGTTCTACGAGTACTCGGATTCTTCTGGTATCAAGCCGTTTCCGTTCGGATTTTTATCCCAAGGGCTGTTACCCACAGAGGGATATCAAACACAGGTACAGTGGTGTACGCGCTACCGACGCCATATATATGAGTTCATTGCCAATTGGTTGACGTCTTGGTCTCGCTCCGCCCGAGTTCATTGCNCCCCCCCCCCCCCTCTCCCAATGTTGTAACGCTTTCTGTAAATTGCGCCCGCATACACAGAAGTACCTCAGGCAGGATGCAGGCCGTTCGAGAGGGCATGACTCCCGCGGATGCACGGATGCCCATCGGGATGCCGGCGAAGATGGTAATCGGAATGATCGGGGAGGTAGTCACCGAAATGCCGGGGGGAAGGCTCGTGACAGCCACGGACCTACTCATCTCTCCTACTATGTTCCGAGTAGCAGGCAAGTGCAGTATGGTATAGCAACGCAAAATATGCCGTTTTTTCAGCAGCCGTGGATTGTAGATGCGTTCGGCAACCCGTACCCGTTGCCGCCGCCGTCCATGGGTCCTGGGTATCAACAATGGCAGATGACTATGCCGCAGGACCCGCTTACTGTCGCTTCCGCCCGCATGTCTGATGCCGCCATGCCCCCGGTTCGTACTTTGCCGCCCAACATCGCTGAGACGTCGGTCAAAGCGACCCAACCTATCGTCGACCATCCCGAGCCTGAGCTAGAACGTGCGCGACAGCTATTGCATCGCATGTCTTTGTCGAGTTTCCCCCAGCAGCGACAACCGTCGGCGACGGCGTCGCCGTCGGTAGCGGCTTTTGACGTGCCGTCGTCGAGACTGCCGTCGCCGGTGTCCCCGCTGTCGATGCCGTCGCCGCCGGTACCGCCGCTGTAGAGAACGGTGCCGCCGGTGCCGCCGTCGCAGATGCCGCAGCCGCCGGTGCAGGCACTGCAACCGCCGGTGCTGCAGCCGTCGTTGCTGCTGCCGGCGGCGCCACCGGTGCCGCACACGCCGCACCCGCAGCCGCCGCCGGAGCCGCAGCGGTCGGCGCCGCACCCACCGGTACTACCGGTGCCGCCGGTGTGGCAGCCGCCGGTGATATCACAACATGCGGTGCCGTTCGTCAAGTCAGAGCCACCATCAGTAGCCTCGGCTTTGCCCTCGCATGGCAAAATACGTTGGGGGGGCGTCGGTACCGCCCCCCGCCCCTGTTGTGACAACGGAGACGGCACAGGTTCCTGGGATGGTACCGACACCCCCCCAACGTATTTTGCCACAGGGATTGCCGGTCTCGGCTATCGCGATGTCGGTAGCTAGGCCGCTGCTTCCGGCCACGCAGGCGGCCGCAAGCGTGTCCTCACGGCCATTTCGAATCCTCAAAGCGCCAATGCCGCAGCCCGCGGATTGGTGGATTCTTCGTTTTTTCAGGTGAAGCGTTTCTTGAAGACGAAGGACAAGTCGAGGCCCTCGTCATACGGTCGGGGCATCGCGGACGAGTGGGAACCAAAAGGTTTCGACCGGGGCATCGACAAGCTCTAGGATTTTGGTGTGCCCAACGGCACGCCGTACATTAAATTCGTTACGAAGTTTAAGGTGTTGGCCATGTCGGAGTTGGCCTCGCACAGAGCTTTCGCGCCGGATCTGCGCATGGTACAGCGTGCGCTTCGAGACGCTTGTTGGAGCAGTATCCGAATATTTTCTCATCTTTGCCGATGAAGGATAAGATTCTCCACAACGTAGTGTTTAGTGATTAGGATGAGCTTTGGGGGGCTTTGTCTTCGGAGGTAGCACTAAAACATTCGCTCGCCTGCAATGGCGACCGCTATTGTACCACTGTCACTGGGTTTTCATCGGCGCCTACACGTGCCATGACCGCGACCGTGGGGCAGCAGAGGCCGCCACCGCCGTCGCCGCTGCAGGCGTCCGCGTGGTCGCCGGGACCACAATTTCCCGCCGAGGTGATGGCCATCGACCCTTTGCCGTCCGATAACACATGTCCCTTCGAGCAGGACTAGGACTGCTTGCCGTTGCGTGGCCACTTCGGCTTTGTGTACAGCGTCGTGGTGAGTATGGCAAAGATGAACCCCTCTCTGTTGACACCGCTGTTGACACCCGCCGACCGAGCACAAGCTCTGCGGCAATTTCCCGGCCAATGTCTTCACTGCGGACAGGCGGGCCACAGCCTCAAAACATGCCCTTATGATTTCACCAATATCACTGGCCTCTGGAACCCGGCCATTGCTTCGCATGCTGATAGCGTGAATGTATTTCAACGTTGGCGGAGCCGCATGGAATCCCACCGCCCGCGTGTGCATAATATAAATGGTATGGGAAAGAGCAGCGGCCATACACAGGGCGACGGCCGCCGCTTTAGGAGGCGTTGCTCAAACACACGCACACACCCTCCGGCGCCGGCCGTAGGCGCCACCGCGGCCTCGGCGCCCGCCGCCGTTCCTGGAAGTCCGCACACTCGGAGTTCCGGAACCCCGCACTCGCGGGGTAACTGACACGCCGGTGACGGCCTTTTGCACACAACGCCGTCAACAGCACCAGCTGTGCGCTGTACGATTAGTTCCCAAGATGTTCGTTTCACACAGACGTCTTCGGGATCGCCTATGTAGTTTCCTAACCTTTTATTTCCCAGATGTCGCCCCACGGCTCATCACAGACTGTTTTGGATGGCCGTCGTGACTCGTCGGCGCCGAAGACAGTCTTGTGGTGTTGGCGGGGGGGCGACAAGACTTCGGGTGTCTCGCGGACGCTCGCCGCGATGTCTACGTCCCCCGAAGGCATGCCTTCGGCACTCCCACCGTTTCGGCGGCTCCGGGTGGCCTTCGGGACAGCCCCAGGCCCGCCACGGGGGCTCGAGTGCGCTTGTACCCACCGCGCCCCGTCCGGACCCCTTGCGACGTTACCCTACGGAGCACCAACGTCGGACGGTGCTGACTGCACCACCCTTGCCGAGCGCAAGTAACGGTTTCCCAAAATCGGAAGGTTCATGTTTTTTGTCACGAGATAGCGGTCCCGAGCCTCCCGCGGCCGCTGGTCATGTTGGTCGAGCGCCCGCGATGAAAGCCGCTTGTAATGAACAGGCCTACGTAGACCACTTGGTTTGCACGCTTGTGCGGCTGGTTCGCCGCTTTTGCCTGCCTCTCCTCGACTTCAAACCCGGCCCGCCTTCGGGTGGCACCCAGATTGTCCTGCCGGTTGCCGGTGCCAATTCCCTTGATTTATTTTTTTGGGGAAGGTAAGCGCACCCGCGCGGCAGGCCCCTGTTTTCGATGAAAGTCAGGAATATTACAACGATGAGGTTTTCCTCTTTTGGAAACCGCCGTCCTTTTTGTCTACTTGGACGCCCTGTGAGTTTTTGGTCCATGGCATTCGCTACGTGTGCGGCGAATAGTTCATGATGGGGAAAGCCCGCATTTTCGGCGACGATGCCGCTGATGCCAAAATCATGGCTACCTCCGACCCGAGGGAACACAAGTCCCTTGGTCGCAAGGTACGCCGTTCATACCATGCCCTCTGAGAGCTCCGACGCGAGGATGGTATCTTTTCGCTTTTGTGTGCAATATTCAACCAAAATGCTGACGCGCGCGAACGTTTGTTGGCTACGGGTGACAGACAGATAGCGGAGGCTAGCCCTTATGACGGATTGTGGGGCATTGGTGCTGATGCCTTCGATGCGCGTGCGGCGTCGCCCTCAAAGTGGACTGGTAAGAACCTTTTGGGCAAAGCGCTTGTTGCGACGCGCACGCTTCTGCGTGTGCGACCGGTCGAACCCGATAAGCCTTTACGCCCTGAACACTCGGGGCAATCTGCCCCCGTGTGTCCCACTGTGCACGAAATTGTACCCCCGGGGGAGGATTCTTCAGCTGACGATCCCCCGTTCCAGGACGCGCGTGGCGCCTTGGGCGTGCGAGCGAACACGCCCTCGGGCCACTCGAAACAGATGCTGCACATTGCCTCTGCTGCTGTTCGCGAAGTCGCCGCTTCCCCACCGTCGCTGTTGGCGGAACACGGTCCAGATTTGGTGAGCGGTGATGTTTTAGTGGATTGCGATACCTCTACGACGCGAGTCCGCGTGCATAGTGGTACAGGAGCCGTGTGTTCAGCGCCTGGTGTAGCCCTTTTGGACTCGGGCTCACCTTCATCTTTCATAAGTGATGCTTTCCTTGAGGCCATGGAGGCGTCAGGAGCTGCATCTGTCCACGGTCGTCGTTGGGTGCCCGTTCGGCAGTGGGGTGGTTTTGGTTCTGGCAATACTCTCGAAACCACCTCATCCGTGCGGCTGTCCGTTCAATTCTTTTAAGGTGATAGTGCCACCGCTTCACTAGCGGTGTGGGTGTATGTTGTCCCAGCTGCCGCCATGGGTCACGCCCTCCTTCTTGGACGTGATAGTTGGATGCGTTCTAACTCTCGTCTGTCCACTACTTTGCCCACGCGGTCGGCGAGTGGAAGCATCATGGAGAAAATTTATCTGTCGTCAGAATTGCGGCGGGAGCTTCCGCGTACGTCGCTGGACCCTCCGCACCCGGGGCATCTACGCCGGCAGGAAGGTGTATCCCTTTCCGATCAACCCACATTTACGAGGGTGACCCTTATTCGCAATTCCGGCACTCCTCTCACCGGCAACTATCTTGTGACGTTCTTACCGAAACACGGCGCCCTTTCGGCGTCGGACGCGTTTTTTTCGGACGGGCCTCAATGCATCCCGTTGATAGGGTGCGCCGAGTTGGAGCCTGGTGACGTGCTTGGAGTTGCCACTGCCCCACTTGTGCAGATTCCGCTCGCCTCGATTGATCCCACAGCGCAGACGGCCAAGCGTGTTGGGTCGAGTGACCCTACGCCGCCGACCCGTTCCGTGAATTCTTTGCATTCGAACATCCCGGTTGCGGATCCGAAGGAGGTAGAGGCTCCACTGCCGCCGAAACCGCTGCCACCGGACATGTTGGAACGCCTCTCGGACGCGCAGCGAGTGAGTTTTCGCGAGTTGTGGCAACGATGTCTGCACAATTGCACGATGTCACGTTTGACTTACACGACTCGGGTAGGACCCCGGAAGCCATCAACAGCCTGGCGGATGTGCTGTGTGACTTTTCGGATGTGTTTTCGCGGTCACCGTCCGATTTCGGTTGCTGTTCCGTGAAACCGTTTCATTTGGAACTGCCCGCGGACCCGAAACCGTTCGCATCGCGTCCATATAGGCTCAACCCCCTGGTGGAGAAGAGGGTTGATGCTATTCTCGATCAATACCTTGCTGCCGGCTTATCCAGCACTCGCAATCGCCGTGGGCGAGCCCTCTGGTTGTCATGCCTGAAAAGGACGGCAATCTGCGTTTGACCGTGAACTACAAAAAGCTAAACAAATTGTACAGCCTTGGCCAACAACCGCAGCCGCGTGTTGATCACATCATCGATTCCCTGCACAAGGGCAAAGTGTTCTCCATTTTGATCTAAACCCCGCTTTCCACCAGATCACAGTCGAGGAGGACACGGTTCAGCTTACGACGTTTTGCACGCCCACACAACTATTCGAGTGGCTCCGTATACCTCAGGGAAGCTCCGTTGCACCGTCATGGTTCACCACAGTCATCAACGAAGTGGTTAAAGGTCTGGACCATGTGTTTGACACTGACCCCGTCCACCATGTCGCCAACACACGTTTTTTTTTTAAGCCTTTGCGCGAGCACAACCTCAAGCTTTCTCCTCTGTTTGTTAGGTCACACCATCTTCCCTGCGGGTGTTAGTCCTCTTGCCGATAAGGTCGAAGCCCTCACAAAAATGCCGCTGCCTAATGACGTCAAGCAGCTGCGTTCTTTGCTGGGTGGGCTTTCGTATTACCGCAAATTCATCAAGGATTTGGCCGTGCGCGTGAAACCACTCACCGACCTCTTGCGTATGGACGCGAAGGTTTGTGATACGCCGGCTATGGCGGATACTGTTAAGGAACTCTTGGCGAAACTGTCCGAACCTCCGGTTTTGGCTTTCCCGTATGGGGACGCTGTCGCGGATGGCAGCCGCCCCCTCCGGCTTTGCTGTGTGGATGGTTTTGGTGCGGCACTTGAACAAGAACAGGTCGATGGTTCCGTTCGCCCCATTCTGTTCGTTAGCCGCGCTACGCTCGAATCCGAGCGCAATTGGATCGTGCTCGATTTGGAGGCTGGAGGAATCGTGTGGGCGATCAAACACCTGCGCGGCTGTTTTTGGTCTACGCACTTTCTGATTTATTTGGACCACAAGGCTTTGGACAGCATCGTCAAGGTGGGTGAACACAACGCCCGCCTTCAACGTTGGCTCGATTTCCTTCCCTCGTTCAATTACACCCTTGCCTACCGCAAAGGCGCTGCCAACGCCAATGCGGATTTCTTTCCCGGTTGCCCTTGCCGGCAACCGAAGCGGATAGACACGGTGATACCAGTATCGCAGTCGATGACGTCGCGGGCGTTTATCTCATTCGTGCGTGCGGACGGAGTTATCACTCTAGTTCGACACCGAACATCGGCTTGGGTGGGCTTGACGTTGACGATCCACGAGAGGCGTTGGCACACGCGCCTTTGACGAAGGATGACTTGGGGAACTTCCGCCGTTTTGGGCCACAAGTGGTCCTGCCGGCTACGTCGCCCTCCTGCCTAGTTGACTTGTCGTTTTTTTCGCTTCCTGGTGTTTTCGCTGTTGTTTGCGATACAGCCTCCGTGAGGTCTGTGTCCGATGGACCTCCTCCGGCTTCCGTTTCAGCGGAGCCAGACGTCGCTTCCTCGTTCACCGTCGGAACCTCGTCGGCTGCCCTGTCGCTTCAGCGTGGCCCTCTGTTTTCTTCTCGTACTCGGGCGAGAACGAATTCAGCCTCTGGCATGGCTCACAGCCGTCCCAAATATTTTCCAAAACAACCACGGGCCGTTGTGGTGCCCAGTACGCCGCGGCCTCCTCGAACGCCGGCCCGGTCGAGCGGTGCCGCGAATTTTTCGAGAGCCGTGGGTAGCCCTACGTCTGGTCCGCCGCCTTTCTTGGTGCCGGCTGGGCTCCCGCCGTCGCCGCCGCTCCCGCGTGCTGCCGCTACCCCGGTGCCACGGCTACCGCCCGCGGCGCCCACGCCGACAGTGTTGTCGTTCGCGGGTACTAGCCCTGAGGCTCCAGTGGTACCGCCCACGGCCGCTGAGAAGCTCATCTCCGTGATTGTGTGCATACATTCTCGCATGCCGACTGGGCCCGCGAACAGATGTCGGACAATGAGTGCGTGGCGGCTATACATTTTTTATCTTTGGGATCTCCGCTGGTTTTGCCGGATACATTCTGGGATTGCTTGTTCTGTGCGCGACGACCGGCGTTGTCTGATGTTGTCGCCCTCGCATCTAAAACATGCCTGCACACACGATTGTTGGTGCGAAATTCTGCGGATATACGTGCCTACGCTGTTGCGACCTTGGGTCCTACAAGCATGTCACGCCACCGCGTCTGTTCACCGGGGTACCGCTCGGACTTTACGGATGTTGGAGCGATTCTTCTCGTAGATTGGGATGGACTTGTCCGTTCGTTGGTGGCTCCGGCATTGTATAAATTGCCAAACGCGCAAGACTTCCCGGCAAACGTATCGCTGGCCTACGCTCACTCTGCGCCTCCCGAATGGGCCGGGTATTGTAGTGAGCGTCGGTTTTTATGGGCCATTGCCGGTCACGTCCCGTGGGAATGCACATGTACCTTTGTTTACAGACCGTTTCAGTCGACGGGCGGATACGTATGCCACTACCAAGGCGAAATTTACAGCTAAGGGAACGGCTAACATTTTCGTTAACCGCTACATGACGTTGTGGGGTTGTCCGGTGACTTTTCTTTCGGATAACGGTATGCAATTTTGTTCCAAGTTGTCCATGGCTATTTTCGTACTGATGAACATCAGGAAAGTCACCACCAGTTCGTACCACCCCCAAACTATCGGTGGAGCGGAGCGTGTTAACCACACCGTGGCTCAAATGCTCTCTGTTGTGGTCAATGAGCGACAGGACGATTGGGACGTCCATCTTCCCCATGTAGAGTTTGCATACCACTCGGTAAACACCGCCACAGGCTTCGCGCCGAATGAAGTGCATATTGAACGGTTGCCCCGTCTCCTGCTTTCTGTTTTGGACCACCATAGCGTGGGTGGTCATCAAAGTTTGGATCGAGACCAGCTCGCTTTCTGCAATCTTGCGGTGGAACACCAGAGACGAGCCTAGGCGTTGGTGCGGGAACAACATGCGATAGTGGTGTGGTGTGGCGTGTCGAACGCCGGAACTCTGCACTGTTGGACAGTTTGCGTCAGATTCCGAAATACGACGTTGGTGGTTGGACTTGGGTCTGCAACTCCGCCGCTACTATTCGGCAGGTTGTGCGGAAACACACCGATCATTTGGTGCTCAACGCGAAGCTTTCGCTCAATTATACCGGGCCCTAGAAGATCCTTGCTGTTGGCTCGGCCAACGCGGAGGATTCACCGGATGGTAAACCTGTCGAGCGCAAACTTCACTACCTGGACCTGTCGTTAGACATATGCTGGGACCAGAATCTCGCCACCGTGTCTCAGTCTTGCGGTGCAAACCGTGTACCAACCCATACGACACGGATGATCTGCCTACGCATATGCCGGCCAATCTGTCGAAATATGTTTTGCACTCGTATAGTAGCAAGTCTCCCCCGTATAATTTGACTATGAATATTTCGGGACGCCAAATTGTGCGTGGACGAGGTGGTGTGGTAGCCGTTTTGTACCTGACTCATTGGATGGGTTTGTTGACCCCGTGGTGGGAAAGGGAGTCCGACTTGCAAGAAATCAGAAAACACATCTTGCTTTTCTGGTCTGGTATCGCTAGTCAGCGCGTACAAGGGAACCGAGCTTATGGTAATGCTCGGATAGCTTCGGCCGACCGACACCTTGCTCGGAATCAGGCCGAACGTTTCATTGCTCCCGGGTAAGAGTTGGTCTCGCGTGATGTTTGGTTGGCTCGCTTCTCGGTTTCCGTTTTACCTGTCGGAGCCCACATTTGGTACAAAGCTTTGGATGGACTTCGGTGGCTTGGGCGAATTTGTAGCTTTGCAACAGGCCAGTACATTGTTCGATTTTTGGACAACCCCGGTTCCCGACAGCCGTCCCTCCCGGATCAAAATTACTACACGGTTTTGGATGCTCCTTGCGGTTCTTAGTGTTTGCAAAAACACCGCCCTCGTGGTTTGACCAACCATTCCACGGCTGATGGCGTCACGTCGCGAACACCAGACGTTGTGGCACAGCTGTCTGTTGCCCCATTTGGATCTGTGCTTTGACAGCATGCCGCCTTCGGGCCGCTATATGTTTTCATGTTTGTTGTGACTTTTTTCTACGTCGTACGCAGCGTTACGGTAAACGCGTGTTAGGGTAGTGTGAGCTTCTTCTATCGTTGCAATAGTGCCCCCGTCCTTCGCGCTTTCGCCACGACCGAACCCCGTTTTGATTCAGACTGGTTCCGTCGTTGGCGATGTGATTCTTAGTAGTCATCACTGTGTGGTGTGGGGATGGTATGGAGTATTTGTCGGGGATGAACTATTTTCTCCGATCCTTTTTGCTTTTTGTGTTTTCTTATTTTGTCTGGTTTGGAAAGTCGCATCTTCGATGCTTATTTGAAATTGAGCACTGGATTGAAGATAAAGTATCTGCATGTACGACTTCCCAGGGTGGGCTAATGTAATGGAGCAACTAGTGTGTGAGCCTTGTACGAGCGTTTCATGAACGTTGTATGAGCGCTTATTGGATATTTTGAATTTTCTTTGGATATGAATAGTTGGCGTCGTTGACGGGTATTGAAATAGCGTGAAGGAAGATCAAAATCCCAGCCCCGCTTCCTCACTCTCCGAGTGGACGCTGAGCGGACCTGATCTAAGAAGGCTAAAACACGAGGTTGAACAACAACTGTGAGTACCCGAAGCCAGGAGCAATGAACTTGCTCCCGACCTCTATTATTTCTCTGTTCCTCCATCAAACTGAGGTGGGAAAAGAACAACTGCTGTGCAACAAATCTATCTGGTAAATCAAGCTAATTATAGTGTGACCAATGTCGTGTTTTCGACAGTCCAAGAGCCTCACGAAACTTAATGAGCCCCGCCCACGTCGCCCACCTCACGATTGATCCAAATACCTACCCTGTTAGCCCTGCAAAGCGCAAGCGCTGCACGTTGAAGTCGAACAGTCCTGAATAGTGCCAAGCCGGCACTTTTGAGGGATTTTTGGGCCCTGAATAGTGCCGCACTATTCAGGCAAAATTCTGAATAGTCCCGGTGCCCGGTATAGTACCGGTCAAAACGCCTGAAGACATAACGGCACTAGATCGGGACACCCACTGTATCTATCTATTGAAGTCCAATAGTTAGGGTTGGCAGTCGAATTACGAATATCTCCAAGTCCCATGGTTGGCGAAATGACTACGTATGTAGTCTACGCCGTACAAATACATGTAGTACCACCGCGTGGATCCTGTTCAGAACAGTGCAGGGAATATAAGATAAAGTTACATCATTAGACTAGTCAGCGCTGACTTGTCTAATGGTGTAAATTATCTTACAAAGGATATGCTCATAGCTCATTTCCACCCGCCTGGATCACTTTTTTTGGCTTAATCACTGGGATTGAGAGAAGGGATCTCCGGGGACGGACCCCTCGTTAGACGCTGCCTGAAAAGAACTTAGTGGTGCTTGGGAAAGTGACCTGTCGGGTTTTGAACCCGTGCGTGAATCCTTTATCCCCAAATGGTTAACCATTAGACTAGTCAGCGCTGACTAGTCTAATGGTGTAACTTTATCGAACAAACGATATACATACGCTCAGCTCATTAGCACCCGGCAGGATCTATACCCTTCTTCCCCTCGCTCCTCGACAAGCTTTTGCTTAGACATGGGTTGTAGTGAAGGGGGGGGTCTTTCTGGCGAGCAGGGCTAGACTCACCCTCAAGGGATGACCGAAACCTTCTTGCTGCTGCGCATATCCGCCGCGAGGCATGCGCGTGGTGGTGTAGTTGGGTCGGCACTGATGGGGTCAGGCGAAAAAATGTAGATGCGCGGGCCTCTGGCCGTCGGCGTAGGCAGCGATGCCCATCTCATTTTTTGTGCGCGGAGGCAGACACCGTCAGAAGGTTGACGGGTACCATGTACACGGCCCTAGGT